TTAAATGGTACTAAGTTGTCGGACTGCGACACACCGAAAATAGAAGAATATTTGCTTTGATGCGAAAAATGATTCCAGAAGTATTTTGAAATCATCAGAAGATTCTGCATCTCTTCACATATTTTTCAAAATTTTGCAGTCAAGTCTTCTAGGGAAATTTTTCTGTGCAATAAACTGATAAATCTAAAACAACCTAACTTGTGAACCTGTTTTCCACAGACTTTAGTTTTTTGGCTATGAAAACCGTAAGATGTTCGGAATCGAGGGTTTTAGTCTTATTATCTTACACCTAACTAAATTCTGCATTATTGATACATAAATAAAGTTTCTCAATTGAAATCATTAATTAAGAAAATTAATTTAATTTGAGAAAATTGAAAAGCCGATTGCGAACTAATTATAAGTCCAGTCGATGTGGCGAAAGATTGTATGAAATTGTAAATGAGTGAGATCCATAGAGCATCAAATTCTCTATCTTTCTATCTGTGAACTATTGAACCTCAGACAAAGGGCTAAAAAATCTCAAAAAAAGGAGATGAAAAAAGCACGTCGCAGCGCAATAACTCAGCACTATTCAATATTTTGAATGATACTCAAACAAGAAAAATGCTATCCGATTGAAATAGCTGGTTTTGTAGAGAATTCAATTCTCTATTGAATGAGCATAAAACTAAGTTCTGGAAGTGTATCTGATTTTCAGAATACAAAAACGGGAATATTTCTGTTAATGACAATAATTAACAAACGTTTAATTTATTTTAGACTACTACAGTGGTAAGTTTCGCGTTTAGCGCATCGCCACCACCATCACTATTACCATCAACAACAAATAGTTCGACACTCGATGATCGTATTGCTCTTCAATTTTGCACCATACAAAAGGAGTTTCGTCGAAAAATTTCATCATCATTTTCTGATTTTTTTTCGAAACCATATGCTGATATGGTTTTCAAAAAATTAGATGAGAATGTTGGTATAGCTCTACCGAATTTTCCTAGCTTTCACATTATAGAATCATTATATAAAATGGAACAACATAAATTACAAAAACCGTGCATCGATTTATTAAAAGAATTATCGGAATATTTGAAGAAAACGTTGTTATATCTCTTGCAGATAGTATTTCATGGGGATAACAGTTATGATCATCATTTTGTAGAATGTTTCACAAATATAATTATGAAAGAAATTCATCAAGCAGAAAAAGAGTGTCTGGCAGATTTAAAACAGCAATTAGAAATTGAAGCACGTATTTTCACATTAAACTCCTATTATATGGATACAGTTAATAAAATAAAACGAGAGTTTTTGAATTATGATGAACTCACTAAATCAAACACAAATTCATCCGGTAAAAAGTTAAGATCTACTATTAATTGTATTTAAATCAGAGTATATCTAATTTTTTTAAAGGCGTCAAGGCACCAATTAAGTCAAATGTGGTAATTAATGATTTTCAAATCAATCTTTGTGGTTTAGATAATGAAAAACGAGCGGCATTTGATGTTCAGATAGCCGTATTTGCATATTGTAAAGTAGTTGAAAAACGAATGGTTGATCAAATATCACAATTATGTTATTATTTTTTGATAACAAAATGTGCATTAATCATTGATTTAAAGCTGAGTACAACATTCTCATGGACCGAGTTACATCGTATAATGGCTGAACCGTTCGAACAAAAACAGAAGAGAGATGCATTAGAATTAAGTATACGAAACTATGAAGCAGCATTATGTCTGGGAGAGAGACAAATATAAATTTTTGATATTGTCATGATATTTTAAAACACAGCGGTAATTGCAAATGTATGTGATCTTACTAGAGACAGTTATTAACGGGTGGCACAGAAATAATTGTGCTGTTAGTAGTTTAAATCTTTTTCTTCTTCCTTAGACTCGATCGAACTAATTTTACTACCAAAAGATTTCCCGTGCAATTCTCTACAAAATGGCGTATAAACGGCAAGCCGGGACTTTGAGACGTTGTTTCAGCTGAACAAAATGTGATGTACCTGGAAAACGAGAAAAATGTAATCGTTTTCTACTAAGTTTTTTGTTCTCTATCTGACAGCACATAATTCATTTCCCCTTCTTGCGCCAGTCCGGTAAAAATGACTAATTAATTACTTGCCTTAATAAATCAGCGAAATACCAACATGATGATCGAGTTTTTTTTCAAAACAAAATTATTTCATACTACTTGGATGTGAATTTAGTAGCAAAAAATGTTCTTTAATGGCACCTGAGTGAGCCTAATTGATTTACTTTTGTCCGAAATCTGCGAAAGATATTGATTCGGGTCGGGTCGCGTTTGGTTGAGCCTAGAGGTTCCCACTTTTTCATAACCTATAACCTATCCTGTAAAAACTTTAACAACCTATAACCTTTCATAGCCTTATACCTTGTAACCTGTAACCTGTCTTAATCTGCAATATTTTTTGCGCAACCGGTTCTGTCCTGTCCTGTGAAAAAATTAACGCAAAAAAGGAGTACCAAAGTTCGAAAATTTTTCCTAATAAAGTAAATTCTTTTTATTTACTTTATTTATGCAGGAAAATATAACAACAAAAGACAATACATCTCTGAAATTTCTGATCAATAATATATCGTCAACAACGTCTGGATTCAACCACTGTCTTCCTGTTTCCAGTACCCTTCCTAATGCACTAAATATTTTTTTTGACTAATAGAAATTTTTTTTCGAGTTCATATTTCTTCATAAAACAAATCGCCTGAATTACCCAAACTTTTCCCCTCATAAAAGGAAAAAAATAGGAAACCGTAAGAAAGCTGGCGATCTTTTTGAAAAAATTTCAAAGCAATCTGATTAAGATAACTTTTCTATAGGAAAGAAGTGTTTCTTTGCGAATGTGTATGAAAACATTTTCATGTTTCTGGTCTAGTTCGGATTACAGTTGGAAAATTTTCAGGTCCGTTCAGGTCCGGTCGGGTTCGGGCCAACATATCAGATATTGATTTGGGTCGGATCGGGTTCGGGTCAATTCACGTTCGATTCGAGTCGTGTTTGGTTGATCCGTTTCGGTCTCCGATGTTCAAACGTTAAAATGATGTGGTCAATAAATTTAAAAGGATTATACTCGTGATTTCACACTCATGACCTTGCCATATTTTAAAAAGTGTAGCGTTTTGACGTTGATAGACACTTTCTTGTTTAACTCTAACTCAATTCTTACTATTATTGTCCTTTTCTGAAAACGAGGCGACTCAGCAGAATGCTTATCACATTTGAACGAAAAGTGATAGAAACATGTGGTTTTCACCGTTGGCTAGAGAACATCAGGGGACGTAAGCGTATGCAAAAACTAGGCTTCCAGGTAACGTTTACTATGGTAAGCCTTTCGATGCAAAGTCTACGAGACCGCCGTTTTTGGTTTATTAGAAAGATTATAAAACACATCTTCACTTATTAACATCTATTCAAAAGTTCGCTGCACGTATAATCACAAACAACTATCACTCTAATAGTGATAGTTGAAATAGGTTTAGAAATTAGAGGAAAATATTTTAGATTAATCTTCTTTCACAAGTTGATTATAGGACCCAGTGTACTATCTACTCGCTCCCTGGTTAAACCTCTGACTACTCGTACATCTGGACGAATCTCAAATCGTTGTGTATTAGCGTCACTTTCGGATTCGATTTTATATAAAATTTCCGGTTTTTGAGTTGTGGCGCGCGAGTACGTTGGTCGTTGACGCTGATAATACAGCACCGACTGGTTTTGTGTGCCATTGTTGATCTTGTGGTCTAATGGCTAGTACGTTTGAATCGACATTACGATTCTTTTGACGACGTATGTATGCTTGCTGTCGATTCGCTGCTTTGGATGGTGTATATGTTGGTCGAGACGGTGACTGATATCACTGCAGACGCTGAAAACGACTTTGTGTTGCTGTCAGCTGCTCTGTTAGTGTAGATGAGGTGCACGTTGGGCGTGATGGTTTCTTTTTTTGATTAGAAACCACTTGTAGTGATGAATATTGTCCTAGAGCTTCGAGACGAGTGTACGGATCGAAATTCAACGTTGTACCAGTTTAGAATCGATGGTGTTGAAATGACATGAAAGCGAAATAAAGTGCTGCCAATTCAGAAAGATAGAATGATTTTTGTTTCCCCTCTTTTTGGCATGGTTGAATAGAGCTCATCGATGTACCTCGGAAAAAGCCAGTTTAAGGTTTTTTAACATCGTTTTCAGATGAAAAAATTGAAAAATACTAAACTGTAGGACAAACAGTAAGCTTGTGAAAACAGTAATATATATTTTATGATACTGTGTTTACCGATTGACTCTTATGAATATATATGACTGAATCGTGCTCAAGTACATACGCAAACCAACTACAGGACAGTTGTGACATAAAAAGAGATGGTCTGAAGTAGGAATGTTAATTTATAGTTAGTTTTATTGTTCATTTATAATAACGGATAAATATAAATTCGTTATTTTTATTTAAATAGTAAATAATAAATAAATGGAAAAAAAAATAATTTTTATCAAATAAAGATAAATGACTCATTTACTTTTAAAAAATAAAGGTTTTTGTTTTATGGAATATATGCAGTAGATGTGGAAGACCACAGAATTTGTTGTTATTCAGATAAAGTACTTTATTTAGAAGATGTTAATATTAGAAGATTAAAAACACCTGAACTGTAGGTATAGTTCCAAAAAATAAAGAAATAAAGATGAAATAAATGGATGGTATTCTTCTTCTGCGACCACAACGAGGAAAGCCGTTCAGCGATCACCACTTCTACATCAGACAGTAGTAGCAGTACAGGAAGTAGTCATACAGCTGCAGTTCTAAATGATGTTTTGTGAGATTTGACTTCATCTATAAAAGCAAAAATCTTAGAACTTGGTAAAGGAACGATACCAGTGGCGCGACCAACAAAAGCATTAGTATGTATAGTGCCATATCCATCGCTGCATAGTGTTTTACGACTTATAGATCTTTTTTTTGTAATTTATAGATTAGAGTAGTATGTAGGATTTGTTTACTCAAAATATTGTAGCTCTTTTCAAGAGCTATTTTTTCATACTAAAGGCTAGTTGCATCCTCTCTTGCTTGTGGAAGAAAATGGGAAAATATGATCACTAAAGCATGTTCACTAGATAGGGAATGCTTCAAAATAAACCATTTCTCCTTAGTTATATGGTATATAACTATGGCTCATATACCGTTTTATTCAGTCGTTCATTGACTACTTTTCTATATCAAATACGAGTTGAATTATTGTTTGGATATGGAGAGAAAAGTACTTAAAACATCTCCGACACCGTTTTTTAGGTCAATTTGTCAAATCGGTCAATGATGGTTAAAGGTTCTTTATATAGAATATTGTAGAGTAAATCAAGGGCTATATTTCTATACCAAACACAAGTTGCATCCTTGTTTGCATATGGAGAGAAAAGTACTTAAAACGTCTCTAACACCATCTTTTAGGTCATTTTATCTTGTAAAAATAATCTCTTCCTATTAAAATGATGTATCAGGATTGTTTATAGAATATTTTATTAAGTTTTCCACTGGCTACCTTTTCATTTCAAGATTTGTGTGAAACCTATGCCGGATTTTTCAAAAATATTATTTTTTTCTAACAACGACGTAACACTGGTGGAATCTCAAAGCAATCAACGTTTAAAAGGTATTTTGAGCTTATTTTCCATAAGAACAACTGGGCAATGTGTACAAATGTCTTTTCGACAAAAGTCAAATCCAAATAAGGCAAAACAATGAGAGGCCGTTTCCTGATCAAGTACCTTCCCCTTCTTTAAAATTTCATGCATAGGTTTCACACAAACCTTGATATGAAGAAATAGCCAGTGAAAAACTAAATAAAATGCTCTATGTATAAACCACTAATATACGGGAAATATTATGTGTTTAGATTGACTAGGCATGTACCGGTTTCGGTTAGAAACTAATCATAACCGCAACCGATCATAACCGAAACTGTTGTTGTGAACAAGTGAACCATCTGGAATATATTTAAACATTTTTCTCGCATAAACAATCTTAAAAAACGCATTTTGTACACTAAACAAGTTTTTGCTGATTTTTGCCGACTTCGAAATGGCACTTTTTTTGGAGCAATTGAACGAAAATCAAAAACATTTCTCCTGACGCTCTCTTTTGCTTAGTTTGATAGTGGAAACTTGATTGCATAAGGATCCGTGCAGAGAAATATAACGATGAAACAAAAGAAAGAAAAACAATGATGTAATTCCGTCACGGAGCCATTTCGCTACTTCCTTTTCATTTAAGCATTTTCAAGTAAAAGTAAACAGATGATTCAAGTGATCCTTTTATGCTCTACAAGTTTTACATTAGACTGTCTTTCTGAATATGTCTCGTTTTAGAGCATTTTTCAGAGTTTGTCGAGCACTAGAAGAAAAGGGCTAAAAAATGCAATTCTGTCACGATATCTATTTTGCTCATAAAAACCGTTCTACTTAAACAGCTCATTCGAAAATTTTACCATAAACGAAATATTCCACCGCACATCTCTGATAAAAATTTCGTCATCTTTTGTTTAGAGCCAACAAACGCAGACGGCAGCGGCTCATCAGCGCAATTTTGCATAGGGAATGATCGATGTAGTCTAAGAGTTTTTCATAAAAAGCACTGTTTGAGAACAAACTAATTTTGCGACAGGAGTTTCAAAAATTATTTTCCTAGTTCATAGTCATTATTGGATAGATATATTGGTTATTCCATAGAATTTTTTTCAAA